GTTTTATTTTTAACAAAACATATCAGGCTATGAAAAGATGAAATAAGAAAACAACAAATTCGACATATATCAAAAAAGTTGTTTTTTTCGAAGCATAAAAAGCTAGTGCCTCAGAAATTTGTTCATTTTGAAAACGAAAAGTGCAACTACAAAACCAATTGTCTTTCATAATATGTAATGTTTTTCACGCTGCATCTTTTGATATATTTTGATTTTTCAATATGGTATAACTGATGGTGTAAAAATGTGTTAAAACACTTAACTTTTTTTTGTCCCCGGGAGAGAGAACCTGGTTTTTGAAACCCTCGGTTTCTGCAGTCTTTTTCGATTTCCGATAGGAAGATTACTTTTCATCTAAATAAATCATACATATTCTGATTCCATTAAAAAATTCACAAAAAAAATGTGCTCGACTTTTGCATTGCGTTAACCTTATTTATATCAAAATCTAATCAGATAAGAATTGGTTTTTCGGATGCTGTTGCAACACATTTCGATTTCATTTTACAACTGTTTTTATTTATAATAATTTGATATTCCACTAAGTATGGATGTTATAAGAAAGAAGCCTCTATACCCCCTCAGATGAAATAGAAACGAAGAAATCTTTGTTAGTATGAGTCAGATTTGTTTGAAATTTGCTGAGAAGAATCGTTCATATGTAAACGAAACCACATGCAACTGTAAATTTAGGGATGTCCGATGTAAAGTAACTGAACACTGACAAACACCGCCGGTAGGCTCACTGCGTACTGATGCTCGGTGATTACTAGCACTGATAGCATTGGAGCACGGAGGATATCAGTGCATCAGCGGTCAGTGATACAACAACACCGGTGTTCCAGTGCTATCAGTGTCAATGATCACCGAGGATCAGTGCACACCAATGGTCAGTATCAGTGTAACAGTTTCAGTTTTTTCAGTATTGCCACTAATGCCGCACATCTCTATGTAAATCTATTTGTACAAATAAAACATAATCACAAGGAACGGAAAGTAAAGAAGAAAGCATCGTTGTTTCACTCAATACAAATGATATGAGTCATCACTAGTTATATTTTTCGCTCAACTGAATTCTTTCAAAATGAAGGTGTGAATGAGGCATTTGATATCGAAGTGAAAAGTCGCAGTCTCATCCGTATTACAAAAGATTGATTCTCAAAATTTGAGCATTTTTTGGTTTTTATTACAGTGAAGAAAGAATAGTTATATAGAGATGAAATCCAGTCTTATAGATCATGATTCATCTAGTTTATTAATAAAGGAAAAGAAAATCTTTTTTCAAATTTGTCCAGCACCACCATCAAGAAAAAGCTCGCTACCAGTAATATATAAGCTATCATCTGAAGCTACAAATAAAACAGTTTTAGCAATTTCAGTTGTTTGACCAAGTCGACCCATAATAGTCCTTGCTGCAAGTTGGCTAGTGAAGACTTGTAAGGCTTCTTTTGTATTGGTAATTCTCTCCAAAAATGGTGTATCGGTAGGACCTGGACTAACAGCATTAACACGAATTTTTCGATCTTTTAACTGTATGTACTAACAACGTGCAAACCAACGAACTGCTGCTTTCCTTGCATAATAGATACTTCCTTCTGATGTACCTGTAACGGAAAAGAAGATGAGATGATAATATTTGTTTTTGCTGCAGCATTTTATTTCTTATTATTATTTCTGATCACAGAGCCAGATTGGAGGAATAGCACTACACTATTCTTCAATCTAGAAGATGTTTAACTACATTGTATCATTCTCCAAAATGTGTCTTCTACAATACAGCACATCTTTTATACTGAACAGAAAAGGGAAGAGAATAAACAGTGACAGTACAAGGTAATATTCATAATGTGAACATTAGTAAGAACACTAACTCATAATTGACTTCTCTGAATGATAACTCATAAGATATAATATCTAGATAGTCGTGTCTGTTCGCACAGCACCTTTTATGGAAACAACTGCTGCATTAAGTATAATAGATGCGCCATCTTTTAAAATTGGTAAAGCTTTTGGAACAATAAAAAGAACACCTTTAACATTTGTATTAAATATATCATCGTAGTTTTTTCATCGGTGTAAACCTAGCACGAAGGAGCTAGCACGAACAAACGATATGTTAGGTAAACATTTTTTTACCAAGTATCTCCCGTCCATGAAAACTACACCACTCGACTCAGAATTTAATTCCGCATCGAATGGTAGTACTTCTATTCACGGGAGAAACTTTCGGAAAAAGGTTTTAGCTAACACATCGTTTGTTCGTGCTAGCTTCACATCAATAACATATTGTGCAAAGATCATAACATTCTTATGCAAGTTTTCTTTTTGAATGAGTCATTCTTACATAATATTAACACAGAATTGTGCAAGATATTTACACAAAGAATACTCATGTTGTACAACAAATATATGTACATGTTTTTTTCTCATTCTTGTAGATATTATTTGTAACAGTTAAACATTATCATAGATAGATATAATGAGTAGCTGCCTAATTCGACTTATAATATAAGTGACCAATTCCAAGCACCCTTAGGTATAGAAATAGATTTAGTTTCACTTATACATATATACACCTACACTCCTGTGAGTTTAGGAATAGAAATAGATTTAGTTTTATTTATACATACGTACCCTCACACCCGTGTGAGGTTAGAAACAGAAATAGATTTAATTTTACTTATATATACATACCC